TTTAAACATATGGTGTAGCATATTATATATCAACTCCCCTTAATCTCTACAATACACATCTATGAGCAGTTTATTTTCTCTAACTGTAAATAGAAACTATTTCTAATCTCTTCTGAAATGTTTACATGTAACTAAAGAAGCCTAAAGCAGGATAGTTGTACAAACTATACTTTCAAAACAAAACACTATTATATCAGAGCAATTAAATGGTAGCTAAAGGAACAACATTGTCTTCAAGTGCAGTGGAACCTACTTGTGGGGAATTATGAAGAAAAAAAATCACTATCCGCTTATTCACTGTACAATGATTTCAGTTATCTCTGTCACACTATTTCGACGCTATTAAAAGTCTGCATTAAATAGAAATATGCACCGTCCATCCTAGCTTGCTTTAAATACTCTTGTTCTCCATTTGATGAAAAGCTTACAAATACCACTTAATTCATTGTCAGTGCTTGATAGGGTAACACCAGGAAAGCTTGGAAAGGCTATTATCATAACAGATTATACAAGTTACCAAAGTGTGAATATGTACCAAAAGAGAAGATTCCAAATAATAGTTTCTTCCATTAAAATTAAGTATAGGAGAAAATAGAAGAAGAAACTGGTCTGAAGACATAGACTACATAAATAGCTAGTATTTCAACATTTAGGACTTTATTTTTTGAACTTATTATTTCAGTTGTAATGCTAAATTAATTTAACTTTTTTTCTTATTGTCAAAGCCAAGAGTTCAAAACTTTGTTTTAATCTTCAAATATTAAGTAAAGGCTAGAAGGATCTACAGACCAACATTATGACCAGGATGTGGCAGGACCTGTTAACAAAGGAAATAATATTTGATTCTGTAAAACTTATCTTCAGGTTGTGACTGAATTCCAGTTCACATCTGGTAAACAAGGAACAGGACTGACATACTAACTTATGCAAAAAAACTTTGAAACCACCCACTCATAATTGCAATGTTTAATTGCGTAACATGTAAGCCCAATACATTGAGAAATTCTCCCACTGAACAAGATTGCTTTTCTCCCTTTGGATAACAATCATGGTCCATTTTCTGCAGCTCCTACAATGCTTGCTTTTTGTGGTGATTATAGCAAAGTTGACATTTGTATTACTTCCTGTGTGGTATTTCTGATCTTTTGGCCCCTTTTTAGTGGCTTAGCTATTAATATATACCCTTTTATGAAGTATATGTGGGTTTCTGTTTAACATAAACAAACTTGTGGTAATGCAAAATTGACAATCTCAGTATAAAGTAGTCCATACTTTATATTAGTTACTTTGAATCACTATTTAAACTGAATTTCAGAAGGTTTTCTTATTCTTTTAAGGAAAAAAAAATTGTCCTGGGATTATTTACCCAGCATTCCATGAATACACAAGAATACCAAATGTGTTTGGTGTTAACAACATTCCTAAAAATTCTTAATAAAACTGGCTTAGTTTGGGAAATCCTCCTGCCTTCTCCCATCTCTCACGTTCCCTGCTGCCAAATTTGCTAAAGGGAACTAGATGGCATTAGCATTGTTAATGCCAATGGATGGAAAAGAGGAAATTTAGTGAATTAAGTTAACTGTTTTCCTGTCTCAGCTATTTATGATTTCCATTGAGAGAGAACATGATCCACTGTTATACCTACTCTGCTTTTTAGATGCAGCATTTATTAAGCATTTACCATATACCAGGCACATATATGCTTAGGTTCAAAATGACTTACCTCTCAACTTTCCCATAACACTTTATGGAACTTTCCTTCATACCTATTGTATTATTTGCCTTCTAGTTGCTTCTGCACTTGTCTTGTGTTCCTTAGCAGATTGAAACCTCCTTGAAGAGTCGGGGCACATGTCTTACTCATCTCCTAGCACCTGACACCCTTCCAAACACTGGCTGCCCTTTTTGGAGGGAGGGGTCCGTTCTATCCCCATGCTGTGTTTGTTGACTGACTTTCCATTTGTAAATTGAATTGAACTAAACTGAATGCCATTTGGTAGCTGTTGGGCAACTATTTTGTGTTATGTTACGCTACCATTCTCTAAATTTCAGTTGTCATATCTTAGTGAAATACAATTGAAATCATATCCATGTAAATTGCTATAAGCATGTTAGAATATTTGTATTAAGCAGTTCAGATCTTTCATGGGAAAATATTTCCTTAAAAAGCCACATAATGTAGCTCTTTGGATCTAAATTTGGGGCATATAAGTATATTTCTGAAGTCCAGAGCTTATTAATATTTTTGCTAACATTTTCAAGTTTAATATTGCTAAATGTAAATGTAACATTATCTGCATGTGTTTTGGTTTTTTTTTTTTAATGTGCTTGGTTTATATCTGTTCATATTTATAGAGAGAGCTGGTTGAAGAAAATTCAACCTATTCAGGGGGCCTCAAAATGTTTTGTTTACTATATTTTAGGTGAATTGAAAATGTAACATTTATGATAGGAAAAAGGTCTCAAAGTTAAATCTGTGTCTTTCAGTTTAATTTTATTTATGCTTTCCCTGTTGTGTCTTATGGAGCTATGTTATAGTAAGATTGTTTTTCTCCCTTCTGTCTCAACAATAGTTTTAGATGGAAAGCACCTAGAGGACAGGGGCTGTCTGCTTAACATTTCCTTTGTTTATCAGCCCACAGGACCAAGAATAGGGGAGAACTTAGTAAATTCTCTTTTATAATGGTAATGATGACAATTATCTTTGCCTTGAAATTGAAAGTAGAAAATGGGAATCAGATTATTTTTAAGAGTTATGCAATTAATCTGTTTAAGGTCCAATAACACAAAAGAACAGAGAATTTCAAAGAGAAATTGTAGAAAACTAACCTAATTTTTCAACATCTTAACCTATTATCACCAAATTTTACATTATATCATATACACAAGTTGTAATGAGCCTATGAGCAGGTGGTACATTATGATAGATTTACATTTATAAAACATTTATCCCAAAGCACATTTCTTATCCATGAGGTACTTTTACTTGTAGTCACAGGCATAATTAAGCATGAGAGTACCTCTCATATACTGAAGTATAATAAAGAAAAAGTGACAAGGGCTGGGTAAGGTGTTAGAAGTGTGGCAAGCTGCTCATCACATGGTAGACTTTATAGGAGGTATATAAATGAATTGGCAGCCTCTTTAAAGTTTAACATGTCTGTCTTTCCCTGCCCCTTCATTTCAGTTTGATTCATTGCTGTTTGGAGACAGCATGAAGTTAAATGATTGTGGGATGTAAGGCCACATTTGTAGAGAGAGAAACTTTTCCAAACTGTTTTATTCTAACCCTGCTATTTAGTTGTCTGAGAACAATCAATCCTGTAAACAAGTACTTCATTTTTTAAAGAACAAAATACTGAAGTATCATGTCTGAGCAACAAATTGTAAGTGGAATGTTGTTTTCATCTTTGTCAATTCTTTTCACAGCATAAATTTCAAAATGCTTTATGTTAGATAATTCAAACAGTATAATCCACCTGGCATGTCAGTCTGTTCTGTAGGATATAGGAGCAATTTTGAAAAGCAAATGACCTCTATTCAGTTATATTCTAATTCTTTTTATTCGTGTTAACATAAATTTAATCACCATTTTAAGATGTCAATATCAGATAGGAAAACTGGAACTAGAAATTGAAATCTGAGGACTTTTGAGTAAAGGGCAAGTTGTGCACACTTTTGCCCTCAAACTTTCTATTTTTTGTTACTTTTTTTCTATTCTTAGAGCAAAAAGTATCAGACTGTGTAAGTCTGAAGTGGATAAGAATTCACTATTAAAATAAATTATGAATCATGGCTATTAATTATCCCTTTTTGTTTGCAGAGAAGCATGATAGCCCAAGAACTTACTAAAAAGCAATGTTTATATTAATAGTTGTTTTTGTTTATAGTAAAAGTGAAGTTTTTTTTTTTAATAAAAAACTGATTGCTCGTTCAAAGGTTGCAAACTTGGCAAGCTGACAAACTGCTTGATTATGTACTAGTTAGTACAAGCAGTGCCTTCAGACAGTGCATCTGCAGGCTAACTAGGCACATATCTCAGGCTCTTGGGCAAGGTTTTTGTTCCTCCATTCTCATTCTCCCTTTCTCCACTCCCTCCACCACCTCTGTTTCTTTATCTCTCTCTGCTCACTCCTTTTTAATGTCATCTACTCCTGCTCTGCTTCATTCTGTATTTCTCTTGGCTTTCTTTCTCTTCTCTACTTTCCCCTTCCTTTTCTCTCCCTACCTTATAAAGACACTAATTTCTGTCAAGGAACTTTTGTGAAAATTTTTTTTTCATTTATGGACAAACTGCACATTGGTCCATCTGCATATTGCATATTTCTTGGTTTAAATTAGGATAAGGTGAAAACCCAGGATATACCCAGAGAGGCCAGAATCCTGGGGGTTACATCTCCTTGTTTCTCTGACAAAAGCTGTACAGTTATTTCCCTGGTACAGAGTAGGCACATAAATAATTGTGAACATGGTAGCTGTTATGTGTTACTTGACTTTAGAAAAACTGAACACACATGTTTTTCATAGCTTAGGCACCTATTGTCTATGTAGAACATATCTTATTTCAAAATATTTAATCTTTCATATTTATTTCAGTCGTATCTTCTGAAAGCCTCAATAGGTTCTCCATTTATAACATTATGACACTTGATAAGATGATTGATTATGAAGTGTTGCGAGCCCTACCATGTGATCATTTATTTTTAAATACACATTTATACTAGCCAGTGTTCAAATCCCTCACAGTAATACATAAGAGAAGTGAAACATAAAGCTTGAGTCTGATGAAATCTGATGCCTCTGGAAATCGAGTGCCACAGTCCTGTGGTCTTAAAATAACAGATTCTTTCTGAGACTAGAACTTTATTAGTAACAAATATGATATTAAAATGATGATCCATCATTGGTACAAAATCAAAAGATGATGTATAAAAGCCATGCAGGTCAGTAGAATTGCACTGGATCGTGATATTTCTCTCTTTCCCTTCCTCTCTGTGCAG